GCCAAAGCACAACTTGGTCGGCTTCCGAAGTCAAACAGCAGGATCAAACTCGCCTGACAAACCCCCAACTTCCAGCCATAACCCCTCCTCTTTGCATTGCCCCACTTCTCCAAGCCCCTGCGCCGCAGCCTTCTCTTCACTCTAACTGCAGTCACGCATCACTAAGCAATCACACTCTAAGTGCTGCAGCAATCCGTAGTAGCATACTGTAGTACACGGTCGAGCATAGCGTGCGCGCAGCCCTCAGGCGTAGCCGCAACACACAGCAACAGTCAGCAGCGGACGACAGCGATCTATGGTTGTCCGCAGTTGATCCCAGCCTTTGCGCCATTAGGCAGGCGCAACAGCAACTCGTGTCGGCCAAGCGATGTGGAACCCAGCAGCATACGGCAGTCAATGGCTATATGCAGCAGACCTCCCCTCCAGCCTCACCGTTGCTCCCCAGCATAACGTTGCAGTCATGCCACCCAAACGGTCGTTCCTACTCAGAACAGCGTGGCTGCCCGCAGCAACTCAGCAACCGCTACAGTAAAGAACTCAGTTGCAACAGGCAGCTAGCGCACAATCGTGGTGCTGCTAAAACGGAAAAAGATGCTGTCGAGACTGGAACGTACAGCTGCAAGCAACTCCAGCAGTCGAAGCACCAACAAGCCCCCATACGCTATTGTACCGTTTAACAATCCAATCGTACCTTCAACATCGGATGTCAACCGTCGCGGCAAGCCTGGAACCACCCTCGATAGCCAATAGCAACCAGCGGCTTCATGAGGGGCGACCACTAGTCACCAATACCATTGATGGCAACCCCCCGGTCAAGTCGCGTGGAGGTCCGCCTGCCTCGTGGCTATGCACACAACGAGTGGGAAGAGGCTACGTGCGTCAAAACGAGGGGCGAAGTAGGATAAAGTCCCCACTGAAATACGAGTGGGTGCACCGGTCGGACTGACCATTCCCGAATCACGCCTGCTGCCTGTTACTGCTCGTCCGCTCAACTGCCTCATGCCCGCTTCACCAATAGGATAAGTAGAATCACATGGATCCTCTCCCTTCGTCAAACACAAGCTATCCCTGACTACATACATACTCATCTTGAAGGTACGATTGCGTCAAAACGAGGGGCGAAGTACGATAAAGTCCCCACTGAAATACGAGTGGGTGCACCGGACGGACGGACCATTCCCGAATCCCGCCTGCTGCCTGTTACTGCTCGTCCGCTCAACTGCCTCATGCCCGCTTCACCAATAGGATGAGTAGAATCACATGGATCCTCTCCCTTCGTCAAACACAAGCTATCCCTGACTACATACATACTCGTCTTAGTGGCAACAGGAGGGAGGAAGGAAGTTTTTCATCAGTAAGGAGAGTAACACATCCCGCACAGATGAGCCTCCAGCCGCGCAACTGCCCACTCGCTCCCTCTAAGTAAACTGAATGGATCTATCGACGACACCTGGCCAGATACATTTGCGCCGGCTAGCTTCACCCCCCGGCGCGGCCTCTGCTGCGTCGACGCGGATACTCCTCGGACTTCGGATTTGAGCTCGCCAATTGGTTAGCAACGCCAAAAACAATCCTCCGAGGTGTGTCCCCTTCCGCCCGAGTCCGTCAGGAATCGGTTGATAGCCCCTTTCCTCCTTT